CGGTCGTGGGGCCTGAACTCTGGGCCTGGGCGCTGTCCCTCAGCTCTTCAGCTCAAGGCTAGCGCTCTACCACTTGAGCCACAGCGCCACTTCTGGCTTTTTTCTTTTTGCTTATGTGGTGCTGAGGAATCGAACCCAGAGCCTCAGGCATGCAAGGCAAGTGCTCTACCGCTGAGCCACCTTCCCAGCCCCGCCTCCTTCATTCCTGCCTCCGCCTGAGTCACTCCCTGGCTCGGGCTCTGGCCCTGCCTCACTCTCAACTGTTCTGTGTTCTCATCCCTGATGTCCTGAGCCTTCCCCTCCTGCTCCCTGTCCGTCTCAGGAAAGTCCCCAGCTGCCCCCACAGGCCTCAGAGAACCCAAGCTAACCCAAATGTTTCTGCACTAGGAAATGTTACATTCTGGGATATAACAAGACAGAAAAATCCTCTAAGTCTGGAGGGGGTGGAGGAAGGGGAAGAACAGTATTTCACAAACTGGATGCCTGGCATTGTAAAATGATCGTGAATTCCCCTCTTGCATTCCTCCTGAGGGGTAGATGCTGTCCACCTCCACACCAACGCATTGCAGAAGGTGAGAACTGGGGAGGAAGGATGGGCAGAGCCAATAGGCTTCCAGTCCTGAGTCTAGACGCTGCAGGAAGCCCCCACCCAGCCCAGCCCAGCCCCATCCCGTAACCACAGGATTCCAGGACTGGATGGGACCACAGATTCGATAGTGTAACTCCAAATCACCCCAAAGCAACATTCTTTCCTCTTTAGACAGCCTGCAAGTTACTAAAAGGTTTCAGATGTGGAAACAAAATCTTGCAATTAAATTCTGGACATTGATAGTTTTTATCCTAGCTACTCTGGGGGCTGAGATCTGAGAATCAAGGCTTGAAGCCAGCTGGGGTGGGAAAACGCCACGAGACTCTTAGTAACAGCAAAAAGCCAGAAATGGAGCCATGTCTTAAGTGGTACAGCACCAACCTTGAGCAAAATAGCCAAGCAAGCTGCGCACTCGTGGCTCATGCCTGCAATCCTAGCTACTCAGGAGGCTAAGATCTGAGGATCATGGTTCACAGCCAGCCCGGGCAGGAGAGTCCATGAAACTCCAATGAACCACCAGAAAATCGGAAGTGACACTGTGGCTCAAGTGGTAGAGCGCTGGCCTTGAGCTGAAGAGCTGAGGGACAGCGCCCAGGCCCAGAGTTCAAGCCCCATGACCGACCCCCCCCCCCAAAAAAAGCCAAGCAAGTCAGGAGCTGGTGATTCATGCAAGTATCGTAGCTACTCAGAGGATCAGGGTTTGAAGCCAGCTCAGGCAGGAAAACCCAGGAGACTCTTATCTTCAATGAATCAGGAAAAAGCTAAAGGCAGAGACGTGGTTCAAGTGGTAGAGCACTAGCCTTGAGCAAAAAAGCTAATGGACAGTGTCTCTGAGTTGAAGCCCAGGACATTCTACATTATTGAAGCTGATCTATCTCCGGTTGTTTTGTTAAAACAGCTTCCAGAGCAGCACATCCGTGGGATAACTGGTCCGTGCTTGATGGCTCCTCTCCACTTGCATGCTGCCGAGGGCTGGGCTGGGCTTGCGTGTGTCAGTGGACCAGCACCTGCGGGACATCCGCTGGTTCCTTCCATTCTGGATTGCTCCACTCCGCCCCCCTCGGCTCCCTGTTGCCGGGGCTGGTGCCACCCAGAAACGCGGCTCCGTCCCCGTCCTCAGTCCTGACTGTCAGTCTGCACGTGGGGCTGGGGCCGGCTGGGTCAGCGGAGATGAGGAGAAAACAAACCACGCGACCAGACGTCCAGGAACACAGTGCAAGCGACCAGCCGTCCCCTGCCTCTGCTCAGGCGCGGACATGGGGGACATGCCCATTTGATCTGTGAACAAGCCGCAGCAGCAAGGGGGCACTGGGTGCTCTGTGCCCCCCCTCCACTCTAGGGCGTGGTCAGCCCTGAGCTTCATTAAATAATTGAACACCTGCTGCCTTGGGCCCCAGCCAGGCTGCTCTGAGCCCTCAAGAAAGGGTGGGCGGAGTCCAGCCCCAGAGAGATGGCCAGGGAGCTGTGGCTCAGGTTTCAAGTCCCCAGTGACCCCTCCCATTGCTTTCCCAGAATTCTCCTTGTCCAGAGGCGGGGGGGGGGGGGGGGGGGGGGGAGGGGGAGGGGGGGGCAAGCCGGGCTGCCAGAGCTCTCAGCCACAAAGGGGAGCTTGGGCTGCAGCTGGAGGAAGCGTGGGGGACCCTGCAGGATCAGGCCGAAGACCCCGCTCCGGCAGCCTGGGCAAGGCTCTCTGGTGTGCGGCGCTAGGGTGAGAACAGCAGCTGCGGCTCTCAGCCCCCGCCCGGCACCGGCTTCCTCCCGCTCGAAGTGCAGGGCATTGAGTTCTAATCCCAGCACTGCACCCTACTTGCCTCCGTTTCCCCAGGGAGTAAGTGGCGCTAGAATTATAGAACACGTTCACTGTGTGTCTGTGCTAGGAGGCTCGTCCCCTATCCTCCTCCTCCTCCTCTTCTTCCTCCTTTGGTACCACTACTGGGCAGCTGCACACTATGCTCTGGCTGACCACTGGGTTAGGTGTCCAGTGGCCAATGGCCTCTCATCAATGTGGGCCAGGGTCCGTCCCTCAGCTCCATGCCGTGTGTGTGTGTGTGTGTGTGTGTGTGTGTGAGGGGGGGGGGGCTTCATGAGGCCCCCTCAGAGCTATCTGGATGACTCCCTTTGAGACCCTGGGAGTGGCTGGGCTCCCCCAAGACCTCTGCAGGGAACAGGTCAAGAAGCCAACTTGCATGGATGAGGCCTGGACCTGTGGGGCTGGGGGGGGGGACAGCCAAGCGTATGCAGCTCAGCTGGACAGAGGCGCCACACCTGGGGGGGGGCTGCGCATGAGGGGGGGCTGCGCATGAGGCTCAGGGGTCAGGATGTGCTCTGTGGCCGCAGGGAGCTTCGGGGGGGGCAGGAGGGGGGAATGAGGCTTCGCTTCACCCGGCTGTGCTGGCTCCCCCGGGCTCTATGTGATGATCATGTTGCTAATTTTATGCCAGACAAATAAGTAGCTAATCATCCACTGTGCTTGTCACAGTGTACTTCATCAGAAGTACCACCTGCTCTTTTTTTTTTTTTTTTGTCGGTTGTGGGGCCGGAACTCTGGGCCTGGGCGCTGTCCCTCAGCTCTTCAGCTCAAGGCTAGCGCTCTACCACTTGAGCCACAGCACCACTTCTGGCTTTTTCTGCTTATGTGGTGCTAAGGAATGGAACCCAGGGCCTCATGCATGCAAGGCAAGTGCTCTACCACTGAGCCACCTTCCCAGCCCCTACTACCTGCCCTTGAATACTCAGAGAGCTGGGCGGCTCACCTCCTCCCCAGGCAGAGGGGGAGTCCAAAGCTCAGAGATCACCTCCTCCTTCTGCTGCCAGTGACCCCCAGAGTCGTGAACAGCAGCCTGTCCCCCTGGAAGGGCTCAGAGGCCAATGCCACAACTGGACCCAGATGGAGCCCCGCCCTGACTACTCTTCCATCTGGCCCTGCCCTGGGGCCATCCAGTGGCACCCATCTTCCTCTCAGGCTGTGGCTGAGCCGGCCCCACGAAGCCCCTCCCAGGCCCAGGGCTGCCATGCTGCCCTGGCTCCTCACAGCTGCATCACAGCAAACCCGTGCCAGGCAGTGCCTGACGCCTGTCATCCTAGCCACTCAGGAGGCTGAGATCTGAGGATCACAGTTCGAAGCCAGCCCCAGGCAGGAAGGTCCAGGAGGCTCTAATTAATCACCAAGCAGCCAGAAGTGGCGCTGTGGCTCAAGTGGCAGAGCACCAGCCTTCAGAAAAGAAAGCTCAGGGACAGTGCCCAGGCCCTGGGTTCAAGTCCCAGCACTGGCACAACAAACAAAATAAAACCCAAACAGACTCCAGCTCATTATGGGGGGGAAGTCAAAGACACGAGGATGGGGGACGGACCCTTCCCTCCAACACTGCAGAAGCCCCCATCACGGAGGGAACCCTACCTGTCAACCATGGCTGGTACAACCCCGTGACATGGCCCCCACACAGCCACTTCCCCACCCCTCGAGGGCACTCACGGGGGCGGGGTCGAGGACAAAGCACGAGAAGTCACTGAGTCACTTTATTAGCATTATGCCTGTTTATACCAGGGAGGGAGTATCTTGGAGATGAGCCTCCTGAGCCAAAAGAACGCCAGCACCCTGGGCCGTGAGAGCGGGCAGCTGCGCGTAGCAGGCTGGTAAGAGAGCATACGGCTCCCAGAGCAGCCGTCGGCCCCTCCACCCCCTCCAAAAACCATCCCCGCCCCGGGCTGGGGGCTGCGTTGGCACAGCTCTCCCTCGCTTCCTCCTCACCTGTCCTGGAGCTCTTCCCTCCTTCCTCCTCCTCTTTGCCCAGCTTCTGGGGCACCCTGGCTCCCCAGTGCCACCAGGCACGTGCCTTCCTTTTTTCCTTTTTTTTGGTCAGTCGTGGGACTTGAACTCTGGGCCTGGACGCTGTCCCTGAGCTCTTCAGCTCAAGGCTAGTGTTCTACCGCATGAGCCACAGCACCACTTCAAGTTTTCTGGTGGTTTATTGTAGATAAGTCTCATGGACTTTCCTGCCCAGGCTGGCTTTGAACCCCGATCCTCAGAGCTCAGCCTCCTGAGTAGATGGGATTACAGGTGTAAGCCACCATGCCTTCCTGTTTTGTTTTGAACTTTTTTGATGGTCATGGAACTTGAACTCTGGGCCTGGGTGCTGTTCCTAAACACTTTTGCTCAAAGCTAGTGCTCTACCCCTTTGAGCCACAGCGCCACTTCTGGTTTTCTGTTGGTTCATTGGAGATAAGAGTCTCACGGACTTTCCTGCCCAGGCTGGCTTTGAACCATGATCCTCAGATCTCAGCCTCCTGAGTAGTAGTAGATTACAGGCGTGAGCCACAGCAACCAGCCGTGCCTTCCCGTTTGTTACTCGCTTCCTGCCGGCCATTGAGAGGGACTGCCAGTGTGCAGGCCCTCCGTCCGGGGCACTGGGCATGTGCCGTCCCCAGCCCCGCCCCGTGCTCTCCCCAGGGACGGGGGCAGAGGCCTGGCAGGCTGGCGGGCCTCACAAATACATCTTCATGGCCTCGTGGGTCGTGGGGCAGTAGCGCGCGTGGAGCTGGGCCAGCAGCGCCTGGGACGTGGCCCGCAGGTGCGTGCCGTGGCTCTTCTTGTTCCACACGTGGACGGCGTAGGTGGCATTGAGCAGCCGGGCCAGCTCCTGCGCGCTGATGTCCTCGAAATATTTCTTCCAGTTCTGCCAGGAGATGGGGTAGAAGGCCTCGCGGGGCAGCGCCGTGACCCCGCGGCAGGCATGGCTGTCCCCCAGGCTGCGGATGGAACACCATCTTTTGAAGACCCGGGTGAGTAACTGGGGACCCTGGTGGCCCCAGACCCAGGCGTTGTAGTGCGCCACGAAGTCGCGCATGCACAGCGCCAGGAACTCGTGCCGGCGCTCGAAGGCCAGGAAGGCGCCGTTGAGGAGGTAGCGGGACTGGGTCCCCAACGTGTTGGTGAGGTTCTTGAGGCTCCTGAGGACGATGAAGTCCGTGTCCAGGTAGATGCCACCGAACTTCCAGAGCAGGGCGATCCTGGCGGCGTCCGAGAGCACGGGCAGCAGGTAGGGCTGCCAGCACCAGCGCCCGCGCCTGGCCGCGTGCCAGGCGGCCAGCGGGGTGCCGCCGAACAGCTCCTCCAGGTCCAGCCGCAGCAGCTGCACGTTGGGGAAGCAGCTCAGAAGCGAGGTGCCCAGGTGCCGGGGCAGGGGGGCGCTGCCGCCCGGGAGCCCCTTCATCAGCACCACCACCCGGGCCTCGGGGTGCGCCCTGGCCGCGGACTCCACCGAACACATGAACAGAAAGTTGGGATTGGTCCGCTCAGACGTCTCCAGGAAAAAGATGCTGCCCGGGGCTGGGGTGCTGGGGGGCAGGTTGGAGGGGGCCAGGTGGGGGCAGGGGGCACTCACAGGCAGGTGAGTTTGCTCCCTGGGCTCACCCAGAATGTTCCAGTAGATCATGATGGAGAGGACGAAGGTGAACTTGAAGCCGATGATGAACCAGGTGCAGACGCACTGTCTGGGGGTGCCCTTGAGCAGCCGCAGCAGGCAGCCGGGGGGCTTGAGCATGATCGCCCCGATCACAGCAAAAGCTGCCCACAGGAACCGGCCGTTCTGCAAGAAAGAAGACCTGGGTCAGGCTGGACGGACAGGGGCACCCCAGCCTACAAGGAACACAGAGCCGGGCTCTGTGGCTCACGCCTGGGATCCTAGCAACTCAGGAGGCCGAGATACAGGGATCATGGATGAAGCCAGCCTGGAAACTTCACGAGATTCTTATCTCTGATTAACCATGAAGCAGTTAGAAGTGGAGCTGTGGCTCACATGGTAGAGCACCAGCTTTGAGTACAAAAGCTAAGGGGTAGCGCCCAGGACCTGAGTTCAAGCCACACTTATCAGCACGTGCACACGCGCGTGCACACACACACACACACACAAAATGTTAGACTTGGGTTTGGAATGTAGCTTAGTGCTAGAGTGTTTGCCCAGCACGCATGAAGCCCTAGGTTTGGTTCCTCAGCACCACATAAGCAGAAAAACTGGAAGTGGCGCTGTGGTTCAAGTGGCAGAGCGCTAGCCTGGAGCACATAGAGGCTCAGGGACAGGGCCTGGACCCTGAGTTGAAGCCCCAGAACTGGCAAAAGAAAAGTTGGACTGGAGATGTGGTACAAGTGGTAGAGCGTTAGCTATGAGAAAAATTGATAATGTAAGGCCCTGGGTTCAAGCCGTAACACAGGTACAAAGAGAAAGAAGGAAGGAAGGAAGGGATGGAGGGGAAGGAAGGCAGACAGGAGGAAGGAGGGAGGGAGGGGAGGAAGAAAGGGAAGGGAAAGAGAGAGACGGAAGAAAGGAAGGAAGGAAGGGAGGGAGGGAGAGAGGGAGGGAGGGAGGGAGGGAAGGAAGGAAGGAAGGAAGGAAGGAAGGAAGGAAGGAAGGAAGGAAGGAAGGAAGGAAGGAAGGAAGGAGCTCACCACCAAACCACCCAGAGCAGTTTCCGAAGCCCAGGGCTCTGGATGCTGGCCAGCTAGCTGCTCTCTAGTTAAAGGGCGCATGCTCCCTTTGTTCTGTGACAAGTGGGGGACTATGTATCCCTTTCAGTGCAGCCACAGCCCCGGGGTGGGGGTGGATAACTCCTCCCCCCTGCAGCCCCCTGAGGCACAGAGGCCTGCTGCTGCTTGGGGGGGTCTGCCCCCCCCCCGCCTGCTTCCGGAGCCCCATCCTACATCCTCCCCACATGAAGGCCTGGCGCTGGCCGAGGGCAGGCCGCTACAGGCCTGAGGCCATTTGGCTTGGCGGTGGGGCATGGCCGCAGGCGCACGTTCAGCTCGGAGTCCTGGCGCTCGGATGGTGCTGCCACTGGGCGGCCTGCAGACTCGGGTCCGATGGGAAGGAGACGGAGGTTGTGCCAGGCTATGACCTTGACTTGTGCCACAGCCCTTGGGCCGTGGGAGATCACTGCTGGTCACTAGGTCGTGATCACGGCACTGTGTGCCCCGGGGGTCAGCCCTGCCTGAGACGCCAGGCCCCCTGCTGAAGTCAGGGTGGCGCCCATGCCAGGCAAGAGCCCTACGCTGAGCTACAACCCCGGGGTTCACTAAGCCGCCTGGCCCTGAACTCAATCCTCCTGCCTCGGCCTCCCACAGGCATGAACAACCACACCCAACTAAGTCATATAGTCACACGTTGGGTGGATACTGGTTATCTGTTCTCTCCCTGGCAGGAGACTTTTCTCAGCCCTTCATGCACAGTTAAACCCAATACTCCCCCTAAGGGAGGGGGCAAGGCTCACCCCCATCTTATAGATGAGGGGACAGAGAAGACCTCCAGACCCTCACCCCCCGGCGAGCGCTGGGGATACGCCCGGTGACCGCACCCCCCCTTCTCACCTGGCCTGCGCTCAGCTCCCCGCAACCCCAGCAAACAGTCAGGGTCACTTCTACCCTAAGGGTCAGGTAACTCGGGTCTGAAAGGGTTGGGGGACTGGGCCCGGCATGGGAATTTAGGAACAGCGGCCTCCATGGCTGGCATCCTGCGGGCAGAGGGCAGAGAAGTTCCATGTGACAGATCGGGAGCTTGCCAGCCTGGGCAGCCCGTGGCAGGAGGCTGGCTCGGGGGCTGACCTCTGCCTGCAGGAACATGGCCGCTCTGCAGGCTGGAGACCCTGCCAGTCCTCCGCCTGCAAAGGCGGCCAGGACAGAGGGTGAGGCGGCGCGAGCTCTCAGGGGCGAATCGAAGGTGCAGACGGGGACACTAGAAATGCGCCTCTGAGCTAGGCCAACAGGCTGAGGCGGGAGTGATGCTTGAGTCCAGCTACTCTGGAGGCAGAGTTGAGGAGGATCATGGTTAGAGGCCAGCCTGGGCAAAAAGTGAGCGAGATCCTATCTCAGTAAACAGACGGCTCACAGCTGTGATTCCCAGCTGCATGGAAAGCTACAGGTATTATTTTTGTACAAAAAAGTAAGACATTATCTGAAAAATAACTAAAGCAAAAAAGGGCCATGGCCATAATTCAGACCGGAGACCTCTGCCTAGCAAGTGAGAGCCCTGAGATCAAATCCCAGCGCCACCACAAAGTCCCTACAAACAAGCTAAGTCGCGTAGTTCTCTGTGGGGACCGTATGTGATGTATGAGCACAAGTCCGGGAGATTTTTTTTTTGTCAGTCATGGGGCTCGAACTCTGGGCCTGGGCGCTGTCCCTCAGCTCTTCAGCTCAAGGTGAGCGCTCTACCACTTGAGCTACAGCACCACTTCTGGTTTTCTGGTGGTTTATTGGAGCTAAGAGTTTCATGGACTTTCCTGCCCCGGGCTGGCTTTGAACTGTGATCCTCAGAGCTCAGCCTCCTGAGTAGCTAGGATTACAGGCGTGAGCCACCGGCGCCCAGCTCTGGGAGACTTTCATCTCCAATTAACCACCACAAGGCCAGGAGTGGAGCTGTCGCTCAAGTGCTCGCCTTGAGTGAAAACGCTCAGGGACAGCAACCAGGCCCTGAGTTCAAACCCCAAGACTGGCACAAAGTAAATAAATAGAGAAAGGGCAAGGCAGGAAGTGAACGGTCAGGAAACCAGTGGACCAACTTAGAACAGAGTAGCCACAAATCAAGGACCAAGGGCCAGAAGGGAAAACAAGAGGGACCGGCGGTGTGAGCTGTGTGCAACCCCGGCTGCTTGGGACCCTGTGGTGCTAGACCAGAGGTGGCAGTTCCCTGGCGGGGGCGGGGCGTGCCCACGCTCACCACCACTGGGTGGCTGCCAGACCTAGGGCCCACCATATTTGGTGTGGAAGCCCAAGAACCAGGATTAGCTACTCTGTACAAGGCCAAGTTGGCCACAGCCCAATTCCCGTGTGATCTCAGACCCGAAGCACGCTCGGGGGCCCTGCGTGGGGTCTGTGACCACTATGCCTGGCCCTGTCAGCCGGGGCCTCACAGGGCCCCGTGGAGGCTGGAGGACAACCAGTCACCCCCTGCTCTGAGTTCATCCTTGGCCAGGGTGCCATGTCAGGCAGGCCGGGAGGGGAAGGTGAGGGGCAGGCTGGGTGTTCCGATGGTGACAGATCAGGAGAGCCGAGGACACTTAGTCCAAGTCCCATAGCAGTGGCCTGGTTGGGGGGGGGGAGAAGGGGACAGGACCCTGGGTCTGGAGCGCCCCCTGCAGGCAGGGCCTGAAACTACTTGTTTCTAGCAGGACACAGAACCCCAGGGTTCTGTGTCTGCTCAGCCAGGGACAGATGGAGGGCAAAACAGGCCAGTTCTTACTGAATCTCTCTAGATCTCCCTGGATTGGTGTCCCGTGGCTGCCAAACTTGATGGCTTAACACAGACATCCTGTCACAATTCCAAAAGGCTCAATCAAGTTCAACATCTAGGTGCCAGCAGGAGTGGCTCAGGCCTGTAATTCTATTGCAAGATGGTTTGCTATTAGGAACTCACTAACATAATTAATTATGTTAATCAATCTAAGGAGAAAAACCACTCAGTAATCCCTAGTGTTAATTTAAAAAAATTGGCACTAGGTGCTGGTAGCTCATACCTGTAATCCCAGCTACTTCGGAGGCTGAGATTTGAGGATAGAGATTTGAAGCCAGTCTGAGCTTATCTCCAATTAATCATCAAAAATCTGGAAGTGAAGCTGTAGCTCAATTGGTAAAGCACTAGTTTTGAGAGAGAGGAAAAAAGCAAGGGAGAGCCCAAGGCTCTGAGTTCAAGCCCCAGTAAGTACTGGCAACCAGAACACAAACCAGAACACCAAAGTTCAAATTCCGTGTGAGCAAATTCTTCAAGCCGCCGAGAAACACACGCAACCATGAACCAAGAGAAAGACATACTTTACTACTGGAATTCTGGATAGAAGATTCCGCTCATAAAGATGTCCTGTTTCTCTTTGTTCTCTAAGGCAATGTATAAATGGCATGCGATTGTACAATTAGATATGACTCTGATGTTGGTATAGAAAAACAAGCAGGAAGGTACAGGAAGATATGAGAAGGATGAACAAACAAGAGAGGAAGCATTGGCCGGCAAGCATCCCAAACAGCAGTAATTAAACTAAAGTACTGTCGCCTTGCATGCCAGCGGTCAGATCAGCAAAGCAAAAGAAATCTTGGAAATAGTAAGGAACTTGAACTCACAGTCAAGTCTCAAATCCGCAGGATAAAATAAGCCTTTACATATCAGATCGTGGGCAGCTGAGGTGGCCCCACGGGGTCAGAACAGGTTGGGTATGTTCGTGAGATTACATCTGAGGATAAATTCCAAATATAAATAAGAAAACCTGTAAAATTATTGAATAAAACATGGGCAGATGATTTATAACTTTGGGGTTGGGAAAGTTTTCCTACTCATGTCTAAATTCCAGAAACTGTAAAGAAAACAAGCTGGGCTGGGTGCTGATGGCTCATGCCTGTAGCTATTCAGGAGGCTGAGATCTGAGGATCACGGTTCAAAGCCAGCCCAAGCAGGAAAATCCATGAGACTCTTATCTCCAATTAACCTCCAGAAAACCAGAAGTGTCGCTGTGGATCACAGCGACAGAAATCACAGCAGAAAGATAGGAGCTGTGATTTTTCTCATTATACAAGGGGAGAAAGGCAGGGTGCCAGTGGCTCAGGCCTATA